TAGCAATTTAGAATAAAATTCTTGACATATGTCTTTGTTGGAAAAATTTAAGTACAGCACAACATTTATCTGTAGGGGAGTAATGTGTATCATAGTTTCTATTGTATTTTTTGTTTGACACACACAGTTGCAACAAATAAGATTAGTACATTTGTTCCGTGAAGTAACATCATGTTCTCCACATTTGAAGCATACTTTATGACTATTGCATTTCTTACCAGAGTGATTAAACTTGAAGCAATTTGTACACTGAGTTACGTCATTATTAGGATATACTGATAAATTTCGAAAACCAATTAAAATTTTCCCTGCATTATTATCACGTTCTTGAAGTTTTTTTTCAGAGTGGTAGCCAACAATCTTTATTTTAGGATTAAACATTTTCGGTTGGGATATTGTATATGTTGATAGCAGATTCTTTCCAATTTCTTCTTTTAGCTTCTTGTAGCAGCGGTCTTCTACATATGATTCAATAACACCATTTTTGGAGTTCTTAACAATTTCAATTTTGATATTTATTTTTGATAAATTCAAATTTCTGCTCAGCTAATTCTTAGTTCTGTAGTTAAACTGTTGTTGTTCGGGGGTAATGATACGACTTTTAAGTGTCCTTTCTTTACTCTTTGATGGTGAATTTATAACTGCTAGGTCATATGGGGAATTTTTGTTGTTGATTTTTCCTCTAACTTCTCAATTCTCCTTAGGAGTTTCTCCAGTGGTGTTACTATACAGTCACTATCGACGATGTTCGATCAAATAAGATCATACTATTCTTGAAATCTGCGGTTTTCGTTTGATAGGTGGTATATTAATGTTTCTTTTTCCAAAAGTAATGCTTGACAAGTTTCTAAATCTTTCGTTTTTCCTGACAACTCCTGTTGTAATAATGCATTCTTTTTTGCAAGTACTCACATGTTTCTTGCGTTGACATAATGGAATCACAGCTAATATTTACAGTCTCATCTTCATCCTTTTTCTTTCTCCGAGTCATTGCACGCTCAGTATTTAGAATTTTGTATCACTGATGTCGCTTGTCAAAGTTGTGTCAAAGTTGTATATGAATACAAATGGCCGAAAGTGGTTTACCTCTTGAAAATTGTCTGATCCCCAATTGTGGATATCCAAATGTAGTCTAGGGACAAATTCAAGAGCAGTGACAAATTATCTGATTCCTAGTTTCGACAATATGGTGACTGAATTGTGGAAAAGGTAGATAATAAGTGTAGCAATGTAATAATCTATAATAATAACCATATCTTCAGCATGTCTGTTAGCTTTTAAACTATCGGAAGACAAATAATGATGAACAAATTTTGTTGATTGTAGATTCTCAGAGTGGTTCTGAGGTTGTAGTTTGCACACGTACTTCAAAGGAATGCGAAATTAATAAGACGGCAAACAGCACATGACGGCAAGGAAACGATGGAGTAGCTGACCCGACCCGGGAGCGAGCTAAGCTCAAGCTCATATTATCGTTTATATATGAAGCAAATTGCCTGCTCATATTTTATTACTGAGGAAATTCGAATGCAATAACCATAAATATTACGGGTCGTAATTTTTGTGGATAATTAAATTCATCGAAACCGTATACCATCTTACGTCAAACCGTGCCAAGTATACGATCAGTATTAATCAAGCCTCATGCTGCCCTGCCTTTCTAGAGAGCGTAACATCCGTTAAGTAGGATGAGAGCAAGAATGTGGCCAACAAAATGAAGTCAAGCAGACTGATTACCTTTGTTAAATTGTTTAAAATTTTGGGCGGTCGAAAATTCTAACTGTCCATAGTGAGAAGTGAAGTTATGAGAAAAAATAAATACCTGTTATCATTTTAACACTCTGTAACTTTTTTTGATACTCCCCAAAGTGACTAGAGTAAAAAACAAAAATTTGTTTTTTCTTTTCACACTTCTACAGTCCACAGTTTTTTTATTGGATTAAACAGATATCAAAAGCTTGGAAAGAATTGGACAACGAGGTTTGTTGATATTCTAATATTTTGCGTCTTCCACTCATACCACCCCCAAACAGATATACCGATTAGGCCGTGTAGGCAGAAGTCAAAATACCAAGGCTGCTATGAAGAAAACGGATTTTTGAACCGCCTAAGGTTAGAAGAACTGGAAAAAGTCTCGGGTAGATTTTTTAGGAGGAGCCTGGACGTATAGCTATGACACAGTATTGTTGACTTTCTGAGTTTGCAATATCCGAGAATCAGTATGCTTTTTTCCTCGTTTTTACAGTAAGGGATATACTAGCAAAATAGCAGCTTCCCGTTCGTCTTAAAAATATAAAATCTTCATCTGTGTTCAATACTTGACATGATAGTTCATCAGATCTCAGCTAAGCAGATCTAGTGCCAAAACCGGAGTAAATATATATGTAACTTCTGCTTATTCCAAGTATGTCCTTATTTTAAGTATCAATATTATAAAAAATTGGTCAGTATGATTTACCGTTAAACTGTTAATAACTGAAAATCACTTCCGACAATTTTTCAGAGCAGATGCTTTACGACTTCGCTGAATTCAATTAGGTATCATGCAGAAAAAGACTGAGAGATGATGCTTTATGGAAATTTCATTTAAATTCCCAGAATTTAATAAAATATTCTTCACCCGTTAGTGAAGTAATTTAATCAAGCTCTTATGTGTTCTAGAGGGAATTTGACTCGACATTAAAAAATCTTTTTGGCATTAATTTCTACGTAGAAGAAAAGCTAAGTTGTATTCACATATAATGTGTATTGTTAAGAATTACTTCCTCTTCAGTAAGTAGTAGTAAATATTTCTAACGGTACAGCATATGAACAATTCCGGCTTAATTCGTGATGCTGGAAGGTGAAGATTATGACGAATTGTTTTCATCAGACAGCTGCAATGGCAGAATACCTTATATTGGATAGCAGAACACCTGGCTTAAGCTTCTTCTTCTAAATAGCTATGCTCTATGGTCTGAGCGGATCGTAGGCTGAAGGCAAATATCTGGCTAAGCATAATACAGAAATCACTGATCTTATGTCATTGTCACTATAGTGATCCAATAAAGAGGCTTAAAGTGATTTAAGTGGTTTGATATATCATTTTTTCTGATGAATGCTTAGGTTCCTTAGCCAGATCTCTACTACTTACTAAAATAGTAAGACTCGAAATGAATGAAAGATCCGAATTAAAGCTCCAATTGGCCCTTTTCAGTATTCATGGTAGATTCTAATTTGTGTCCAATGTTTTGCATTTTTAAATGGTGAGTTGGAAGTAAGCTTATGTTACACAAGGCTTAGACAGGGTTTCAGCACTCAAATAAAACAAATGGAATAAAAATATCATACATGTCTAGGTAGGGTTAATTACCAGTCATCATGCATCATTTGTTGGTCACTCATATATTTAAATCGTAACTACTTGAGAGATGAATGTGATTTGCAATCTCTTCTAAATGGCTTAAATTGACTGTCTTTATTATAGTAACGTCTGAATGCTTTGCGGCTGCATTCATGGAAATTACTAAGCGAAACTTTTCTGGAACTATAATATTACCCAAACACCATTGTTCGTATTGCGCAACTTGTGTAAGGGGATGTAGAGTATTCCGAAGCAGATCAACTTTTTTTTATTGAGGAACCTTTAAAGACTCCATGTTTATGCAGCTGTAGTATTTGCTTGAGTTACTTGGTTCAGCTTTTTTTATTTAAATAATCCAAAGTAGAGAGTACACACCAAAACAAAGGAACATAACATATTTGCCAAACGAGCCATGAAATAACAATTAGAATAGGATAATAAAAACTGACGCCTATCCAGCACCGAGTATTACAGAATATGCTCAGCTAATTGGACGACAAAGCACGTAAATGACGGGGCACATTCCCTACGAGAAGTCGGTTTCAGAAAATTTTCTCCAAAACCAAGAAATATGCTTCGTGCTGGCCAAACCTGCCAACGCACCATCGCAGTACGAACATAACCATCAAGAAGACCGTTGTGCCGGGCGCTAAACCCAGATAAGCATAAGGATTCGCGTATCGGAAGTTTTAAAGATAAATGTACGGCGAAACCTATGATGTGTGAAATATAGCTAATAGATATACCATAATAATATACAGTCATCAAAAAACTAAGATATATCCTCCCTCACGCTCCAAGCCCCCACCACAAAATCTTTAATCTTCAATTTTCTTTAAAGGATCAGGATCAGGCCTTTTTCTCTGTCGCCACTGGACCGGCTACCAAAAGCTACAGAGCTTCTAAGTCCTTGGCATAACAGTAATCTTGTGTAAGAATTTCCTTCAAATCAGAGCAGTATTTCAAGTTATATAGGGGACAAGGGTTACTGGTCAGACCGACAGACAGTCAGACCATCAGACAGACCGGCGGAAATGAGTGATATGGTTTTTCGTAATGTGCATGTAAGATGATACATGTGCAACATTTGCTTAGGACTGGATCTTTATCTTTGTTGGCTTTGAATCCATGATTGATGTTTGGTACTTCTTCTTGACCGTGGCTCAGCCATTTCTATGTGTAACTGATCTTGTCGTGAACATATGCTAGGTTCAAGCTTAACTCGTAACTGCCAGCACTGACGTCTTTAAAATATGCCAATGTGAGGTTTGGGAAACTGAGTGAACTTTTATTTAGTCTAGACGTACCCTTCCGGCAATCCTAGACCGCAAAAGCTTTCGTTGTCTATCTCTAACCTAGCCGGCGTCAGGCTTGTATATAAGGCGCAAATCTTAAAGTTTTGCGCATACTTGGAATTAGAACAATCAATCATTAACGTATTCTGCCTCAAGATAACCAACCTAATGCTAAATTCCCGAGCTAAAATCAGATCCTGTAGCGTCATCAATGAAAATTTGTCACAGCTGTTTCTCTATTCGCTATATATAGTTTGAGAATGTTAGCGTCTCATAGATGTCGCTGTAGATGTCTATGCTCAGAGTGTGGGAGGTTTTCGCAATGACCGGTTCAGTTGCTAACAGCAGCTTTTTTCTTCCAGGTCAAGGTCGCGTGAACCAACTAGGTGGTGTCTTCATTAACGGGCGACCTCTTCCGAACCACATCCGTTTGAAAATCGTTGAAATGGCCGCAGCTGGCATCCGACCTTGCGTGATATCCCGTCAGCTGAGGGTATCCCATGGGTGCGTGTCGAAGATCCTGAATCGCTACCAAGAGACTGGCAGCATCAGGCCGGGCGTTATTGGTGGCTCCAAGCCGCGAGTTGCCACCCAGGAAGTCGAGACCAGGATAGAGCAGCTGAAGAAGGAGCAACCTGGGATCTTCTCTTGGGAGATACGGGATAGGTTGATCAAGGTAACTAGAACACTGGCAGTGTCAAGACTGCCTAGTACTCACGTTTTGCTAATCCAGGACATTGATTTAAAAAGTGGTTCATTTCAACTAGTTTGCTTCTTCATCTACATGCTTAAATTTCAATTGTTTATCCATGGCTTCATTCCTCCACCAATTGCAGGGGCTTTTACTCATTAGACTTCCCCTAGATAAAATTCTACTTCGGCCATTTATCAATGAAAGCGCTAGTGGTTGGATACACGCAAACTTGCTTCTCTTTTCTCTACCATTATATCTGAATATCTTTTTCTATTTCCAGGAAGGAATCTGTGACAAAAACTCTGCGCCATCCGTGAGCTCTATAAGCAGATTATTGCGTGGCGGAAGGAAAGATGACCCAGAACGAAAAAACCACTCCATTGATGGAATCTTAGGTGAGCTTATGTCAGATATACCAGTTTTTCGTTACCGGTATTGGGTCTTATAAATTTTACCCCAGTAACTCTTCCTAATTATAAGACATAAAGAACTGCTAGATTATTTGTTTTCAAACTTGCCGACAAGCTTCATTTGACATATCTGTAGAAACAAGTCAATACACAGATTACAACGATGAAAAAGCTTGGGTGTTATTGAAGTCTGGCCGACCAGTTAGATCTTTCTCTAAACTGCTTGGAGAATGGATAGTGTTATTTGAACTGCAGCTCAAAGGATTAGTATTCCACGATGAGTCTTATTTTTTGAGATTGCGTGGCTTAGCGGCCACTAATGGCCTTTCTGTGGCTACCAGCGGTGGCTCAACGTGCGTTAGCCCTAATGTACTGTTGAAATACATACCAAACATATATCCCCCACGATCTCAGCAAAGCTGAACCAGGTATATTTCTTGAGCCCTCGTTCACTATTAAGTTGCTGCTTAAGAAACCGAATCTATTTTGAGAGGTTTTCAAACTGTTCCTAAACGAAATCGCTTCAAGAAACAGAAATTCTTGATAAGCGTCGATTTATCGATACATCGATGTCCATTTTGGATGTGTCAAAAGCAGCTTTTCGAATTAGTAAGTATCTGAAACAAGGGCCAGCTAATAGCACCAACATTCCAAATCGATGGCCGTTTCTTTAAAAGCATCGCTGTTAAATGTCATATGAAATGCCATCGTTACTTCGATGCTATACAGAAGACGTAAAAATCGACCGGAACGTTAGAGGACGTGCCACAACGACATTCACAGATAGCATCTTTCATCAACTGGTGAGCAAATCTAAATGGACTAGCGTTAGGTTGTGGTTGTTAGTTACTTTCGGTCAGAAGGGTATCTCAGATATATTTACGAGATTCTAAAGCGCTTGCGTCAACGGCGAAATAATTTTCAAAAGGCTAGGAATATAAGGACTGTGTTTCTTGTTACTGGATATTTTTGCTCAGAGACAACTGGGTCTCATTCTGTAGTTGCAACTATTTTTGCATATTGCTCCGAGTTTCCCTAGAACTTGACATCTAATACATTGTTTTAATGACTCGCTTGAAGCTAATGCAGATTTTATCACACTTTCGTGCATAGGTGTTAACGTGTGCTATTGCACGTTGGAAAAATATTCAGGTGTTTCTAAGTAAGCGCATGAGCAATAGTTTGAAAGTACTGGCATTGAATTAGTATATTCTCGAGATATGGGTGTACCTTTGCTGTAGGTGTAAGAGCAGCATATCTTGATTACAATGGCATTGATAGCTATATTTTAATAGAGGTAATATTAGGATCATAGCGGGCGAACAGCCTTCACTGCATTACGAGTGTTATAAAGGTTCTGAACTGGTTACGGTCAGTCGAACTCGGCAAAACCTCTCTTCTAAGGTGCTCTCTTCCTTTACGAGCTCATTTTCTGAGTCTGCTATATTGACTATCTAAGCCGTTGCTCCACATTGAATAGCATACATTTCTTCATGAGAGCTGGATGTAGGAACGCCCATGTTAACCACTTGAGGTAAACAAAACCAGATCTTATTTGTTTTAAATCAACGAGCAATCGAAAAAGTTTGTAACGGTTTAACATCGATACCAGTTACGTGGATGACACTAAAATAAAAGCTACGCGTGGGTAAAAAACTCGATGAGGAAGAGCGTATCGAAAGGTAATGAATAGAAACGGGGAAAGTTTAAAAAGAAGCCACCTCGGAAATAGACAGAAAATCTTAGCGCAGGACCACACAAGACGGGCGATGACTTTTCAAAAAGTAGCGACCACGGCTGCCAACAAAAGATAATGACGGTTGATTATCGCACGTTGATGTTGACCTGCCGGTCACAAGCGATTGATTTTTTTGTTTTGGGTGGTGCGATTCATTAGCTACCTTTGAACGCCTCTTTGATCAGGTAATCAATTTATTCATATACCAATAATAGTCCGGTGAAGCAAATGATTTTGAAGGTTTTAGTCACAGTTTTACCTCCAGCAGTAGTGCTTTTTATACTAGGATATTCCTTTATATATTTTCATGGGACAGTGAATCACGTGTTTTTGAGAACTCTGTACAACTAAATGATTCGAACGGCTTTACCGACCCGCAGGAATGATGATAAAAATGTGAATAAATATAGTTCCATTATCCGGACGATGAATGTTGACCACTGAGTAATGTATACATCAGAATTACATGTAGAAAATCAACTTTGCTTTGCGTGGTATGGAAAATTAATGCTTAAACAGTTGGTCAGCGCAAACACCATTACCACATAATTCGGTGTTTGAGCTAATTACAGGTATAATGGTTACTCGCCCCAAGCATTTATATTACATTAGTTATTTATTACAAACTTTATTATTTACAGTCCGGCGGAAGCTGATAACTGTCAGCATAATACATTCACATATGCATTATATTCTTAATTGGCTATGACGTTGATTACATCTACATCACAGCTAAGTTAGTTATTGTGTTCCTATCATGTTTCACTTGGCGGCTGAGTAAAAATTAAATTAAAATAAAATTGGTGAAAAAACTATTATATTTGCAACCGTTCTATTGTCCGAGAAAATTAATGTAATAATTGAAGAATGCAATTTTGCAATAAATATCTAGTTGCTCTGGAATATGTCGCTGGCTTTTGACATCCGACAAGTCTCTGTTATTCAAATCTGTTCGCTGTGACATCTTTTTCATTATTTAGTTTTTACAATCTTGATAATAGTGGTGAATTATTAAAATGCAGAAATGGCGGAAATGCATTACGTATATGGCCTTGTCGACGGTAATGGTGAGCAAGCTAAACGGATTTATCAGCAAAGATATCCCGATCGTGCTTTGTCAGATAGTCGAACTCTTTCTAATATTCATCGTCGTCTTGTTGAAACTGGTTCTGTCCGAAAATGAACATCTGAAGGTAGACCTCTAAGTGTGAGAACACCTGAAATTGAGGAAGCAATACTGCACGGTCGAAGAACGTCCTGAAACGAGTGAGGAAGATCGCTAGACACCTAAATATTTGTCATCAAATTGCTTGGAGAACTTTAGTGGCTATTTAGTTATATCCTTACCATATTTTAAAAGTACAGGCATTACTTCCCATTGATTTTCCAAGGCGTGTGACCTTTTGTCAGTGGTATATTCAAAAAATTACACAAAATCCGCAATTTTAATCAATGATTCTGTTCACGGATGAAGCTAATTTTTCTCGAAATGCCATTCAGAATTTCCACAATAATCATTTGTGGGCAGAATAAAATCCCTATGCCGTAACCGTAACCCATTTCCAACACCAATTTTCGGTTAACGTATGGGCAGGAGTTATTGGCAACCACTTTATTGGCCCATTCTTCTTGCCGGGACGACTTGATGGACAGACTTACCTCAATTTTCTTCAACAACAGTTGCCTTTGCTGCTTGATGATGTTCCGTTAGTAATAAGAAAAAATATGTGGCACATAGATGATGGTGCACCAGCCCATTTCAGTGTAGCGGTTCGTAATTATTTACAAACTGTTTATCCAACTCGTTGGATTGGCCGCGGTGGGCCCCAAGAATAGCCACCAAGGTCCCCAGACCTCAACAGTTCAGATTTCTTTCTGTGGAACACTAGTGTAACAAGTCTTATTAACACTGTAGAGGAATTAAGAGAAAGAATAGTTGCAGCTTGTGATAGAATAAAAGACACTCCAGGGATATTTCAACGAATACGCAATTCCATGAGAAGGAGGGCGGAAGCATGCATACTAAGTGAAAGGTGCCATTTTCAACAAATTTTGTAATCACTTCGTTGGTTTCAATGTTATGTTTATGTTGTCAGTTGTTGTTGTTCATTACCCCTAATGTATTTAATTTTTCCAATTAAATTAATAATAATTTTGCAAGTTAGACAATAGGACGGTTTTTATTTTTTTACTCAAAAATGGCGCATCAAATGAAAACAATTCGAGAGAGATTATTTGTTTTAAGTTGAATGGGGAATTCACAAATAATTTTTATTTGGCAAAAAACTATTGGCGTACCATTTTTTTCTTAAAAGATATCAAAGTAAATACCCGTACACATGCCACTGTTAAAGCTAAAAATTAGTTTTGCATTGAAAAATATGCAACTTTATTACCTTTCACTACGTACTAAATATCAGTGAAATATCTGAAGCGGTTCTGAAAATATTAATTAATTTCCATTTTTTTCCTAAAACTTCAACATCCCGAGTTTTTGTGAGGAAACATTTTTGGATCATAGTTTATGAAGCAAACTCACATTAATTTTTCATTTAGATTCACACCCTTAAATATGTCTCACTGTAACCAATTTTGTGAGCATATGCGAGCATATAGGCAGCGCTATCTGTGGGACACTTTAACAGTTTCGAAGTACATATAGCTAATAGAGAAACAGGTGTGACAAATTCTCATACGTAAAGCTACGACATCTCGGATAATTTTTCGTACGCGAGAATATGGAATTGATTGGTTATCTTCTAGTTGGATACGTTAATTAATTGCATAATCTAACGCATTGTCAATCCCGATAGGTAGTACGAAAGCTCTCTAGCTTACGAAATACAGGGGCTTCATTTTTGACCTCTCGTACCTACTTTATAGCTGGGTCGATCCCTTGTATATATGTACTTTATTTCTTAGATACTATCACCCATTATCGTCCGTTATCAGTGTGCGAGATACGATCACACACTGACACCATACTCAATTTAAATTACGTGCAAAAGCTATCCCTATACCTGATGAGAGCATTATGAAGTCATCCCTATACCTCATGAGAGGATGATGAAGCCATTTGGGTCCTAAATTATAAGAACTTATACCTAAACCTTTAAAACAACACATTTTAAGCCATTTAATTTCTTTATACAAATGAGATATATGATCAAACCTACGCAGACCATAGATAATACCTGAGGCACGCATTTAGCACCTTCTGAATCCGACCACTACTTGCCTGATCTAA